TGTGTAACACAGGTGCACTTACACACATGCAAGCAATACACTCACACACATAAAATAAAATAAAATAATAAAATATTTGTTAAAAAGAAACATAATGTGTTCTGGCTTGGCGGTGCTTGTGCTTAACTGTTTCTCCCATGTGTTTCTAACATCAATAATATAAAAAGCACATTTAGTGGCGATCCTTTGTTCCTGTGCTTAGGGAGTTGGAGGACATGGGAAGAGTTAGTGGGGGACTGGAAGTGACAGAAATCATGCAAAGACAATATTCACGTAGGAAATTCTCAAAAATAAAAAATGTAGGAAGAGTATAATAATGGAAACTACAATTAATAAAAATAGTGGCTTTATACTTTGAACTCTGGATTTCTCTCTCAGACTACCTTATTTCAAAACACTCCTAAGAGGTGGGCTTTTATTCTTTGTAGGATAACTGAGCAGGCCCCTACTTATGGCTTGCATTTCTCGTTCTGTCAGAAGCATTTCTCTCCGCCTGTGGGCTGGCGCTGCAAGCAGCACTTAGGTTGCACCTCCTGAGCGCTCACGTTGATATCTCTGACAATGATCACACTCTCTTTGAAGAGTCAAACAGATTTATTTGCCAATAAAAGAACTTTCATGTGGGTAGTATTTCAACACATGATAATTGCTAATGAGCACTCTAGGAAGATCTTCTGAGTTCCTTCCTCAGTCTTTCATGCTGCATCTAAATGGCCTCGTTTATTATGGCTACCACGTGTGTCCAAGGCACAAAACATTTCTGGAAGTGAAAATCAACCTGACGGAGAAAAAAATGAAAAGCAGGCGTAGAAATGTGCCCAGTTTGGCTGATGTCTACCTTTAAAAGTTATTCTATTTCAAGTCAAAGCATGTAAGCGAGGACAATGTAAGGTGTCTCTAGTTCAGATGTGGACTCCAGCTGGAGACAGCCACAGTTTGGAAAGCAATTTTATGGCACAAATTAAGTCGGAGCACCAGGAAATGCCAATATGACAGTCAAATCGACGGTGTTTCTAATCTGATAAGAGGATGAAGGCAGCTTTCCTTGAGCAGGTCCCAGTGTGAGGGCAAGGGTTGGATTCTGTCACACTGAGACCTGCTCAAGACTTCAAACAAACATTTGTTCTATATTAATAAGAACTTGTAAGTAGATTTATTGTTTTTTATATTCAGGGACTTGCATATGTCCCAAATCCTGAAAAATGATTGAGAGGCAATGGAGAAACACCCACAACCGACAGTGGCTTCGAAATTCCAAGACGAAGCCACAGCCACGGAAAAGGCCGTTATTCAAATCGGTTATGTTTTCACCAAGATCCTAAATGCTGTGTGACTTCTGAGCTACTTGGGGATGCAAACACATCTTCCTCATTTTTTTCTCCCCAGATGCTAATTCAGAGATCACAGGTTTTCCTTTTGTGGTTTTTTTTTTTTTTTTAAGGTGAGAAAACCATTATCTTGTGATTCGGTTTTTCGGTCCTTGAAGTAGGCCATCAAAGTGTAGTTACTGATTGAATAACAGCCACACATTCTGTTCTATTGAGGGATACCCGTCTTAGAAACAGATCTGGTATAGAAAATGACTGTCAACATCTATGAACATAGTGTTTTTTACTCACCATTTAAAAAAAATCTTGGTGAATTTTTTTTTGTTGCTGTAACTGAAAGTAGAATTAAAGGGGGGGATGCTCTCAAAGTGTGACAAAGTGAATCCCCACAAAAATTTACATGAACTCTTAAATTTCCTTTCCTTCTTTGATACCCCTTTTCAGTAGCTAATGAAAATGTTAACATCATCCATCCATTTCCCATGTCACTGAGTTGAAAAAGAACTATGTGACTCAGTTCTACCTCTAAGAAACCAGTTTGAAAATTTTACATTACAATGCACAGATATAGTCAATACCTCATTGTTACAGTGTTTTCAAAATTCTGAGGAATTTTGTGAATTGTGAGAAAGTGCTCTGTGGAAAGACAGGTTTGGAGGTAGACGCTGGAGGCTCTGGGCGGATGGATGGAAATGAGCATCAGTAGGCAGTGCTGGGCCTGTATCCGCTACAGGCCTTGGGTTCGGTTGTGCACTTGGAGAGAGGCGAATGCCGCAGTATTCAGGACTGGCTTTCCACCAGGTTGAAGTACGTTATGAGATGCATGTCAGTCATTTATTACTCCTGATAATCAGAGCACAGTTGTGAAACGTATGGCTCAATTTTCCTCTAAAATAAGAGATTAAATCACATGCCTCCTCTTACCTCTTTCATGTGAGAGAGCACTAGAGCTAACTGCCTCCTCCACTCTACCCCAGCAATGGACTGAAGTCACGGAGAGCACTGAAGGTCTTTGAGCAGGGAGGGAACAGAATAAGAGCCATGTCCACAGAGAAACTTCTCTGCACTATAGCTATTCTAGTGGGTAGGTGCCTAGACAGAAGCTGGACTCTAGCTCTCAGAGCCAACACAGCCTCTCCTGCTCCCCGGGAATCCCAGTACCAATATCCACATTTATGGGAGCTCCTTAAGTGGGCGAGCAGTAACAGGAGTTTCCTCAAATAAAATTTTGTCAAAAAAATATGTGGCTTTATGTTAGGCAAACTTCCCATGTGAATGTAAACTAGTCACAAACTCTGCATTGAGAAAAACAATGTATGATTTCTGTTTTGTTTGATTATTGCTCTCAGTACTCTCATATCAAGTCTGGTGTACTGACTGTCGCTCAAACAATTTCCAGATAGCTGTTTCTTACATAATGCTTCAACTGTGGGATACGTCACAGTAAGACAAAACCCTAGAATCCAGAAAACTGCTCTCTCCATCCACTCTGCTGCACTCATTTCCCTCATGAAAGGCCTACAAACACTCCTGAGGCAATCCTACTGTTAAGATCTCAAAACGTAAGAATAACAATGACACAGAAAGCAGACCACAATTTTGAAATAAGAATTGAGATCCCCCTGTCACTAAGCTAAAATTGATGTCTGTAGCATCAACATCCATTACACACATATTAAAATCTATTATATTAACAAATGAGGCATTGGTAATTTATTTTCCTGAATTAAAATTTGGGGGTTGTGATCTACACAAATGCAGTTACGATTAAAGTTGTAGGATTTAAAAAAAAAAAAAAAAAAAACCTTCCCATTTACTCCCATGTCCTGCTCAAATATAAATTCAAAAGACTGAAAGTGGAACCTTGAGACCATCTACTCTAAATTTCCTCTCAACTTAGGAGTTCTTATTATGAACAAACAAAACAGATGCTGGGCAAGGTGGTGCATGCCTTTAATCCCAGCATTTGGGAGGCAGATCTCTTGAGGCCAGCCTGGTCTACATAGTGAGTTCCAGGCCAGCTAGAGCTAAATAGTGAGACTGTCCCCAAAACAAAAACAAAAATCAAACAAACACCAAAACAGCTTGCTAGCTGATGTTCACTCAGTTTCTGCTGAATATAGAAATAACGTCGATGAATGGAATCTGGTATTCATTAGCCCATGGTCATATAGAGAGACTAAGCTTCTTAGGAAACAGAAAAAAAAAAAAAAAAAACTTGGGGGAGGGGAGACCATAATATCTGGGGCTGGGGAGATAACTTAGTCAATAAAGTACTTGCTGTGCAAGAATGAGGACATAGACTCTACCCTTAGCACTCACATAACAAGCCAAGTATGATGGTGTTTGCTTGAAATCCTACCACTGAGGAGGTGGAGCCAGGGGACCACTGGAGCTCCCTGGCTGGCCAGACATACATGATGAGTTCCAAGCCTGAGTGATTGTGTCTCAAGAACAAGGTAGACAGCTTTGAGGAATGATATCCGAGGTTGACTTCTGATCTCCACAAATATGTTTGCATGTGCTCACACATGTACACCCCCTGAAAACACACAAACGACTCAAAATTTGATAACATTCATCCTCTTATGGCTTAAAAATAAATTTCCAGACAATCACTCTTTTAGCTTCAAGCTGAAGATGTCTACATTTTATAGACACAAAGAGAGTGGATTTGGGGCTGGAGAGATGGCCCAGCAGGTAGGAGCCCTTACTGCTCTTGCAGAGGACCTGGGTTTGGTTCCTAGCCCTCATCAGGTGGCCCACAACTGCCTGTAACTCTAGTTCCAGGGACTCTGACACTCTCCGGCTTCAGCAGGCATATGTATGAATGTGGTGCTCATAAATTCACATACATCATCACGCATTTTTAAAGAAAATAAAAAATATAGCAGATTTATCTGGAAGTGAATGCCATGAGTTCAAGGCCAGTCTGGTCTATACAGTGAGTTCCAGGACAGCTAGGGCTACAGGGAGACCCTGCTTCAAAAAAAAGACCAAAAAAAGACATGGCTACGTACAATGGCATGGAAATTGGATTTCAGGTTTACATGATCAAGACCAATTCAACTAGAATTTTCCTAGACTTAAATCAAAACTGAGGGATTAAAAAAAAAAAAAAATCAGCTGCACAGGTAGCTATATAAACAGGCAGAAACACCCACATCTTCCAGTACTTTATCTGTACTGGTGTGTTTAGTTTGAAAGATGATCCATTTCTGGTGTAATTATTACCACCTTATATTTATAAAGTGTTTCTTTAACCTGATTGCCTTGTAGACAACTGAAAAGAAGCCAGAACATTAAAAAAAAAAAAAATTCAATGGGAAGGGCAGGACATGTTTCATGATAAATACTGCATGAGTGAACACATCATTAACTTCCCTGATATAAAATTCAGAAGGAAGCTGGGAAAAATACCCAAATGCTATTTCTGGAGTAAAGACAGAAAACAGTTCCACAGAGATGAAAACTCTCACAGTAAGAATTAAGATTAAGTAAAAACTGGCAGCGACAGGAAAATGCATCAGAAGTTAATAAACTGAAAATGATTTAAACATTGTTTTCACCCATGAGATTATCACCCATTACCCAGGAAAGGGCTATGAATTACATATTGCTCTTGAAAATAATGACAAAAAATGGACATAGCACTTTGTGTGTGTGTGTGTGTGTGTGTGTGTGTGTGTTTGTTCAAGGGCTGAACAAAGGCATGAAAGACAGGCGCAAAAGTAAATTCTTTTTTGCAGCCCAGAAACTCACTATTCAGTATGAGTTTTAAAACAGACAAGGAGTATGAGAAGACAGCTCAAAGTCATGGTGCTGAGAGGAAAGCTGGCGTTGAAATGAGGTGTGCCCAGGGCAGCCTGCCTTGGGGACCTGTGAGGAGGGGAGGGGGGTGACGCCCAAGAGTGTTTACCTGACCATAGGCGCTTCTACATTGATCTCAAACTTCTGAACCCAGAACTTGGCAAATAAGAAAGGAAACCACTGGAGAGCAAAGCCAGCCTCACAGCTGGAGCAACGGCCCTGGCAACTCTCCACACAGGACATAAAACATGATTTCGGGTCTCTTCATTTTATTAAAAATCTTTATGCTTTTATATTGATCTCAAAAGTCTGAACTCAGGGCTTGTCAAGTAAGAGGGAAATAACTGGAGGGTCAAGGAAAATAACTGTCAAGATGGCAGATCTGCGCTGGCCTGGCTGCCACATGAACCTGTAGACTGAGGCCAAGCCAGCCTGCCCACCCTCGTGCCCTCGTGGCACTCATGGTCAACAGATCATCATCATCACCCAGCGGCTGTCAAGACATGGCTGCAGCCCTCTACAATATTAGGAATCTGAGAAATCTACAGATTTCAGAAAATGAACTGGAGGACACTGCTGTAAAGCTGTCCTGTAAAGCTGTGAAACGTCCCAAATGCCACTCAGAGACTCTTAGATCAGAGCTAAATGCTGCCTGCTGGAAGCAGGGGCCGTTGTCAGTTCCAAGACACCCCCCTCCCCCCACCTCCTGAGCCACAGAGTTCAGATTCCTGCAGAGTTCCAGTTACTAGTCATCTCATCAGCTGGTTTTGCACAAGGTAAACCAGGACCGGGTGGTGTTCCCAGCATTCTGTTCTCCATTTCTAAGTAGTTAGCATGGGCGTGATCTCATATTCAAAGCAAGACAAACTGATAAGAAGTTCCAAAGACATAAACTTTCCCTAAGAGCTCCTTTTTTGTTAAGAACTAGAATTATAAAGAAAATGGCCGCGCAATGATAAAGTGCACTAGTTGTAATGGACAAGTTCGATCTCAGTGTCTTCCAAGTGTAGGACGGATTATTCATGCCTTTGCTCCTCTACACTGGCTGTGCTGGAGGCAGATTCTCCTCCTCGGATGGGTGATACAAATGAGTGCTCCAGGGAGCTGTTTGTAAGTGCCTGTCATCAGTTTCTACATGGGGACCAGAACAGACCTGTCAGGCAGTGTCCGGGCAGTTCAGGAGCCTTTTATCTTCACGTTTGGGAGACTTTTATCTTTATATCTATTCACGTCATTTCCCACAAAGACTTTAGCATGTCTTCCTCCCTCTTTATTTACAACTTCAAAGTACAAAAAAAAAGTCTCTTGGGGGAAAATTCTTAATGGAAAAATCTCAAGATCACTCAGAAAACTGTATATTAACTATACAGTTCTTTCTTTAGAGGGTGAAAATGAGACTTTGGTGTTTGTTAAGTGTCTGTTTGCTATAAGATCGTGAAAGAGTCTGGCAAGCTGGGATTTTTTTTTTTTTTTTTTTTTTTTTAAGTATGGTTTCAAAGAAAAGTTTCTCAAAATCACAATCCCGTGGCACTGCTTTTCTTCAGGCAGGGTAAGAAACAAGAAAACATGCTTAAGCACAGAGAGTGAACAACTTGCTCCTCTTCCTTTGAAAATTCTGAAAGGCATTCCCTTGGGAAGACGTGGCGCTGGGAGTGCGACCCTCGGATAGCAACGTGGCAGGCGCGCATGTGCCGCACAGCAGCAGCAGCAGCTCTCTGGCAAACCTCTGCCTGTGTTGGCCCTCTTGCCTACTGGTCAAGTCTGATCAATATTGGAGAGTAGAGTGACTAGCGGAGGTATATACTGCTGCTGCAACCCAAGGCAGTATTTAAGTTCAAAGCCAGCTTGCGCTGCATCAAAAAAGATTTGAGAACAGCAAATGTTCTTTATTTAGCTACCTTTATGAAGAAAGGTTTCTTACCACAAGAAAAGACAGTTTTTTCAAAAAGAGGGCTGGTGGCAGTTCAATAATGTGCTTGCCTTGTGAGCATGAGGGCCCCAGTTCCATCCCTGGGACACAGGCAAAAAAAAAAAAAAAAAAAAAAAAAAAATCTGGGAAGAGCAATGTAACAAAATGAAACGCGCCTTGTAATCTCAGAGTTGGGGAGGCAGAGGCAGAGACAGGCAGATCCCTGGGCCCGCTGACCAGGCAGCCTAGCCTACTTAGAGAGCTCTACGCTAAGGAGAGACCCTGTCTCAAAAAACAAGGTGGACAGGCGTGGGGAGTGATGCATGTTGACCTCTGCCTCCACAGGCCTCCACAAAACAAAAGAGAGAAATCTAGAGACCGGTAGAGAGAGAAATAGGGAGCATTTACTTAAGATACTTCCTTGATTATAAAGCATTTTAGAAGAATTTAAAGAATCCAAGAAGCTTGAAGTCACCAACAATAACTAAATAGTACTTATTGAACACCCTTGGGTCTCACAAGAGAACTTCCTTCTCTAGTAGACATAAAGTTGAGGCCTAACTTAAAATGCCTATTAGGAGGTGCTCCAGGTTATTAAGATAGAAAGTGTTTCAATTTGATCAAAATAATAACTTTCTTATTCTTTGCTGGAAATGGAACCCAGGGCCTTGAACATAGTAGGCCGCATTCTATTACTCCAGTCCTTGGCTTTTTAGGACAGAGGCTCACTATGTAGCCCAAGTTGGCCTGGAACTCAAGCTCAGTCTTTCTGTCTCTGCCTATTCAGTGCTGGGATAACCAACTCTAGTGCACCACCATGCCCAGATGAAGTAACAGATTCGTAAACCGAGTACTCACTACATTCAACTCACTGTTAAATTGTGCCAACCACTTGATGCATAGCATCTCATTTACACTTCAGAAAAACTCTATTACTAACTTTATTTTGTGCACGCACACACACACACACACACACACACACAAAAGCAAGAATGAAAAGGATGAAGACCTTTGTATAGAATCAGGCTTTTAAAAGACTGTGATCCAATTTTCACTTCAGCAGCGTGATGTCAGAGGTTAGGCTGTCAGCCCATATGCTGCAGTCTTACGTAGAACAGCAGACCACTTCTCAGTTGGTTTGGTTCATTGCTGTCCCAGCTCCCTTTGATACCTCATTGTAACTGCGGCCTTTAAAAATGTTTAAATGATTTGGGATGTATGTGTGTGTGTGTGTGTGATGTATGTTTGTGTGCCACAGTAAAAGTGTGGAGGTCAACAGACAGCTCTGTGGAGTCGGTTTTCTTCTTTCATCTTTACACGAGTTCCAGGGATTGAACTCAGGTTGTCGGGCTTACATAGAAAGCACCTTCACTCGCTAAACTATCTCACAAGCCCCTACTTTTTAAACTTTAAAATTGGAATCTACTTCTTCTCTAAGAAACTCTTTCTTCTAGCCATGTTTATAAGATTACTGGAGATTGGGGAGAAAAAAATATAGGAAGCCTAAAAAAGCCTTGGATGAAAAGGTTAAAGTCACTGGCTGTGGTGGTGCCTGTCTTTAATCCCAGCACTCAAGAAGCAGAGCCAGGAGGATTCTGTGAGATTGAGGGCAGCCTGGTCTACATAGTGAATTCCAGGCCAGCTGTGGCTACAGGGAGACCCTGTCTCAAAAAGATAGAAAAAGAAAGAGGAGGAAGAGGAGAAGTTGTTGAAGTCGTCCCTCAAAGCCCTCTTGAAACCATCCACTCCTTTTCCATCTGCAGTCTGCCCATGTATGCTAACAGCTAGAGTCCTTTACGAATGGCGGGATGCACTGTATAGTGCTTGGGGGAGGCTGGGCAGATGGTTCTATCTGCCTGCCAGGCTTGCCTGAGGACTGAATTTAGATGCCCAGCACCCATGTGAAAGGTAAGTACCCTGGGCCTCTGTGCCACCAGTGCTGAGGAGCTGAGGGCAGGAACCAGTAGATCTCTGGCCTCGAAGGCCGACCAGGCTAACCAAATCAATGAGTTCAAGTTTCAGAGAGAGATTCTGCCTCAAAAATAAGGTGGAGAGAATTCATTGATGCCTGGTTTCTACACATGCACACATACATGTGCACATATACTCCCGTACACACATACTCATACAGGAACAGGTCTAAACATCACAGACATACACATGCACACCACACAAATTTACTGGTATGCTGCACAGTTGTGTCTTCTCTCTAACCGACTTACTGTGTAGTTCTAGCTGTTTCAAAATCCAACATAGAAAAACTGTGGAGGGCAGAGATATACAAGCCTTACATTAATAATATGTGTTAGGAAATGTAAATAGGAAGCTGTACACAGAAAATAACTTTTGTGTGTAATACTATCTTCACTACTAGCTAAATACTCTGTTTATTTAAATATAAATGTCAATCAGGCTTGAGAAACTCAGTGGTTAAGAGCACTGGCTGCTCTTGCAGAGGACCCAGGTTCAGTTCCCAGAACCAACATGGTAGCTCACAGCCATCTGTAACTCCAGTTCCAGGGGATCCAGCACCCACTGTTGTCCCCAGCAGGCACCAAGCACACATGTCGTGCATTTACCTACATGCTGGCAAAACACTCATTGACATAATGTTCTTTTTAGATATATATGCCATTAATGTAGTAAGGGTAGATTATAGGCTCAACAGACTACAGGAATTTTATCAGACCCGACATTGTCTCTAAGATGTCCAAAATGCTTTCACACTTCAAATGATTTCACCTCTGTCTGCTTCTCTGAGATTGTGTCCTAACTTTCTCTGGAATATTTTGTGGTATAGCCGATTTGTCAGGCCCCAACGATATGCATTTATCCCATCTTCTTTCCCACCTGTCCAATCCTGTCAACAAAGTGTTGATCTCTGGGAAGCTATTTCTGGTGGCTTTGAATTCACCCTCAGTGTACTTTTTTACTTATCTTTAAAATGCCTACTGCAGCAGTTATCTCTTTGTATTTCATGTTAGTTTCCTATTCAAAATTCTGATGGATTATAACTGTCTTCTTCAACTATTCAGAGTCAACTATGAATCTGTGCTTCGAACTCACTAGACCCTAAATCTAG